TGTCCTCAGTTGTGTGCAGGGCTTCATCTTTATTCTGCATGGGAGTCCTTTGCTGACACCCTGTCTTGTATAGTGGCTTCCCTGGTAGTGGTATATTGTACAGAAATTTCTAGTTTTCCTATGGACAGATTTGTTCATTTGTATCTAAGGCTTGTGTATGTAACTGTGAAAGTGGCTTTGATTTTTCTCAGGAATCCAGGTGGTAATGGTACAGAAGTTAAAATACAGCATAATAACTAGAATAAATAAATAAGCCTTAAAAACATCAGTGGGAAGGAAAAAGAAACAAAGCCTTCCAGGTTTCTGGCAGTGGAAATAACAGAGTGGCCCTGGGGGGCCGCGTCAGGCACCATAGCTCATGTTAGTAGCAATGAGTGGTGTGTTTTGAGAACCCTGGGCCAGGCCATGTGCTGAGGTCTCCAAATGAGCAGTCTTGTATCAGCTGTCATAGGCAGGTGGTAGGTTGGGATACATGAAGTGCTTTCCCCAAGCCACACAGGAGGCACAGCTTGAACCCTTGCTCCTTTGTGCCTGCCTGCCCATGCTGTGCCCTGGAGGCTTCTTGCCAAGCCACTCCATACCGGTAGTGTGAGACAGTAACCCTATGCTCAGAGACTCTGGGTCAGGAATGGGGAAAGGGCGCAATCCATGTGCCAGGTCTGGAACATCTTCAAGGAAGGTTCAGCACTGGAGGGGAGCAGACAGCTGGGGGTTGAGTTGCCCAAAATTCCCTTACCATTCTGTGGGTGGTACTGTGTTGGCTCCACCTCAGCTGGAATACATGCACAGGTGCCCGAGTCTGCAGATCAAATCCCTCATATCACATGACATAGTGTTTACATATAGCCTGTGCACGTGCTTTTTCACGTGGCTGTCAACTCTAGACTATAATACCTCATATAGTTGAGTGCTGCTTGAGTGTGTATTGTTTAGAGGAAAGCAGAGGTAGATATGTGCAGTCTGAGTGCAGATGAAGTTGTATTTCCAAATGTCTTCCACCTGTGGCTGTGGAGTGCTGACTGCTGCCTTTCATGACTTGAAAGCCACAGTCTGTCGCCGCCACCACCACCACAGTTAGATGCATGTCTGCTTTAATCTAGAGATGTTGAGTCATGAATCAGTTGGCGTAGAGGAGAGCTCACATTTTAAAGGCATGGGTTGGTTTTAAAGAACTCTGTTTATCAGAAATTTTAATCTGAACATGTTCCCAAACTGGAAAGAGCCTTTAAGGAAATCTCAGGCTTATTGTGTAACTTGAATCACCATTTTCCAGGTCTTATTTCTTAAAAGCATAGAAAATGAGGGCTGGAGGGAGGGCTCAGCAATTAAGAGATTTTGCTGCTGTTGGAGAGGACACAGCTCCATCCCCCAGCACACATGTGGTCGCTCACAGCTGTCTCTGAGTCCAACCCCAGAGGATTATGTGCCCTCTTCTGAGTTCTGTGGACCCCAAGCATGCACTGGTGCACCCATATACACAAAACAACGAAATAAATACATCTAAAAACCAAGGAAGTGGCACATTCCTTTAAGCCAGCACTCAGGCCAATCTCTGTGAGTTCAAGCTAGTCTGATCTGCATAGTGAATTCCAGAGCAACATAGAAAGATCCTGTCTAAAAAAACACCCACAAATGCATAGAAAATGAATTGTATATAATAACACAAACTCAGTTGCACATTAAAAGCATACTGAAGCCTCACCAATAAACCAGAAGACATGCAGCTTCTGTCCTCCACCTGGCCCTCTCACAGCAGTTGTTTACTTAGCTAGATTTTGGTGGCCAAGCAAGGAAGGCCCCAGGCCAGGGAAATACTTGTTTCAACCAGCGCCTGCCCTGCCTGGGGTTCTAGAACTCTGTTAATTTCTGTACTAGTGATCAAGTAATGACAAGCCTGTAAAATAATTCTTACTTATTTTTAGCTAAGACATGAGAAGCCCTAGGTCTCCACATTGGCTTTCTTTTAATGCTAACATTGTGTTCTTACATCAGGAAGAAATGGTGTTGTGTAAAGCTGTGGATGGGGTGTTACAATCAGCATAGAAACTGGTCAGGTATGTCATTCCAGGCCTTTGAGCCAGTTGTGGAGTATTGACAGGTTGTCAGGACTGGCCAGCTGTTGGAGGGCCTTCCTGCTGAAGATTGTAGCCTCCATGACCTCCCCCAGCAGGGCTTCCTACTATCTGCCTATCCTTATTTGGAGGATGTCCCTGAGCGTATCTTAGAGGTAGCCTCCGACACAGCTTCCTGCAGAATGTTCTCCTCTCCCATATAATAATGACAGGCCGTAGGACCGTGCTGTTTAATGCAAATGAAGTGTACTGTGAGCACCTGTCAGAGGACCTCCTGGCTGTCTCCCTTTTCTTATATATTCTCCTCACCCTTGGAGTAAAGTTGGTCTGCCACCCTGCAGCTGGTCCTGGATGCTATAGTGTCATGCTTACGGCCTTCTGAGGCGTGCACCTGCCTCTGCTCCTCCTGCCCTGCTGGGCTGGTGGCCAACAGCCCCCAAGGGAAGAGGAGACCCACAGCCAGCTGTTGACTATTAGAATGTTGCTTGTCTTCTCATTTATTTGCCTGGACAGATGTACACAGTTAATGTGCCCCTGGCTCCAATAAAGGAGCAGAGTAGATTGGTGACAGCTGAAGCCAGGGTGAATGTGCCCAGGCCACTGCTGTCTGGGTGCTTGCACCCTGTTATCTCAGTGGATGTTGTCCTAGATGGAGGTAGGATATTGCTGCCCTCGTGCTGAGTAGATGTGGTCTGTTAGTCTCTGTTAAAACATACTTTGTCCTTTCTCCCTTCGCCGGAACTTGATGGATTTTCATCAGATTGAAGTAGGGTCAGTACGTCACCATCTGGCTTAGCAGGGCACGTGACCTTGGAAGGTAGCACTTGTTAGTGAAAAAGATAACACTAAGGCTCAGAAGGCGAGCACAGTGACTTAATCAGGTAGTGCTGTGACAGTGATTGTATTTGTTCATTATTCTTCTCGTTGCTGTGATGAAACACCTGGTAGAACCAACTTAGGGAAGAAGGACTAGCTGGCTCTCATTGGGTAGGGTGATGGCATTATGACAGGAGTGGCTTTTAACTATGAAGGCAGGAACAGGAGTTGGCTTGTTCGTACCTCGGTGAACCAAGAAGCAGAGAGTTTGTGAGAACTCGGGCCAGGTTGGAACCCTCGCGCTCCACCCATGGCCCTGCTCTTGGTACACACAGCAGTGCTGTCAGCAGAGGCAGCTCAGGCTTCAGATGTAACAGTAGGTAAAGCTGATAACCTGACTCTGATCCCCAGAATCCACATGATGGGAGACAGCAAACTCCCACAGCAGTGTGTCCCGGGCCACAGCAGGTGCATACCTGCCTGCATTTCATATCCGTCTTCCAAGCTCCCTCCCTTCCTCTCTCTCTCTCCCTCCTCTCCCTCTCTCCCAGTCCCCCCCCCCCTTAAATAAATAAGTGTAAAAATAAACCATGACAGTGATTCATTCTGGATTTTAAATTTATTATGAGTGTGCGAGTGAGATGTGTGTAAGGGAGCCTGAGTCCGTGTGAGTGTGGAGGTCAGGACAGCTTTCTAAAGTTGACTTCTCCTTCCAGCTTACAGGTTCCAGGGGTTGAGCCCAGTTTACCAGAGGTTGCCAGGTTAGGAGAGTACATTATATTTTTATTGCTCTTGATGAACTGGTGTTTTTGAAGGTCAGTGACCCTTGGCCTTAATCTTAGTCCTTAGGACATGCAATGAAAAAAGTGCCACTTGCTGTCTTAAAGGTAGGCTGGGATCAGTTAGGGTAAGAGTTAATTCATGCCTGTGCCCTGGCTCATGGCAAGAGTTGCCTGGCCTGTTTTGTTAGGCATGTCATTGAATATATTTGTGGTTTCCAAAATAGAGCATAATTGTACAGCACAAGCTGGAAATCAGAAACAGATGTTTTCCTACATAATAAAAACTTTTGTCCTAGAAAACCTGCATACAGTTGTCTGTAATAACTTTATTCATAATAGCAAAAGCTAAAAGCAAGCTGGTGAGGTAGCGCAGTCAGGAAGCTTCTGCACAGGCTTGCCGATCGAGCCCCATCTCCAGTGCTCACAGAGGAAAACTAAAATGACATGGTGGTGTTTGTAATTCTGGTACTGGTGGGGCAGAGACTGGTGGCTTCCTGGAGCTGGAGCTAGCTGGCCAACCAGCCTAGTGGCCGTCCTTGGTGAGCTCCGGGCCAGTGAGAGACCCTTTCTCAGAAAACAAGATGCCTGGAGTTGGTGCAGAAGGTATGGGTGAATCGGCAGAGCACAGAGGACTTAGATGACAGCTCCTCAGTACAGCACTGCAGTGGGATGCTCAGGGCTGTATATTTCTCTGACTCTAAGCAGAAATTAGACAAACTCTGAGCACTGCATCAACTGTTCAGAGTTGTGACAAATCACAGTAATGCAACATATTAGATTACTTCAGACAATTTGAGTCTGGAGAGATGACTCAGCAGTTAAGAGCACTGGCTGCTCTTCCAGAGGACCAGGGGTCTGTTTCTAGCACCCACGTGGTGGCTCATTTATTTGTGGAAGGCACCTTACTGACTGAACCATCTCTCCAATTCAGGTTCCCCCCTTCTCTCTATAGATTTATTTAATTTATGTGTAAGACTGTTTTGCCTGCATGTACTTTTATGAATCACATGTATGCAGTGCTCATGAAGGTCACTGGGTATGCCCAAATAGGCATCGGGTGCCCTGCAGCTGGAATGAAAGGTGGTTGTGAGCCACCGTGTGGGTGCTGGGAATCCATCCTGGGTCCTCCATAAGAGCAGCCAGTATTCTTACCTGCCAAGCATCTCTCTGGCTCCCAGTTCTTGATAAGCAGAATTCTGTGGTTAAGGAATTTAGAATAAGCCAGGTGGTGGCACACAGCTTTAATCCCAGCACTGGGGAGGCAGAGGCAGTGAGTGAGTGAGCTGTGAGCGTGAAAATGGTTGTGACTTCCCTGGTACTTGTCTTCCAGGTGCTCCTTATGTGGGTATGTGTGCAGTCACCCCCCTTCCTTGAAGTCACACATGTGGAAGCATGCGAGTGACCAGAACTACAACTACGAGCAGGTTAACAAGGCCATCAACGATGCAATCTCACAAAGCGGCAGGTACGTCATCCCAGCCTCACTTCATTGCTAGATATAGAGCAAGGTAGGGATCATCTCCTAGCCCTACAGCGCAACCCACTGAAAGTCTGATGTGTTTTGTTTTCATAAGAGTTCTGGGGAAATCTCCTGGGAAAGCGCTCTTAACCAGCAGTGAAGAGAGAACTGACCCTACCACAGGCAGTCCAGAAAACTTGGCATCGTCCTCAGACCTGCCTTCTCAGCCATCTGGTGAAGTCATAGATGTCAGTGAGCTTGAGAAACTGAGCCCCACAGGCAGCAGCTCTGACATCTCTGGAAGGAGCTGCAACCTGACTGCACCGGGCACTGAGTACTGCGTGTTGCTCTTCTGCTGCTGCATCTGCGGCTTCGAGTCAACCAGCAAGGAAAGCCTCCTCGAGCACATGAAGGAGCATGAAGGGGAGATCGTCAGCATCATCCTGAACAAGGACCACAGCACAGCCCTGAACGCCAACTAGCTGGGAGGGCCGGGGAGGACCCTCCGAACCGCAGGACAGCCTCGGTGCCATCGCCAGCTCACGGAAACCAAGGCGGCAGGTGGCGTGGCTGGAACTCGGTGCTTGAGTGGCGACACTGAGCCGTGACCCTATGGGAGCCTCTGTCGTCCCTTCTTAGTGTCAGGCGTTTGGCTAAAAGCTTACTTAGTTCAGGATCTGCAAATAGATGAGTTGAGAAGGCTCCCCAGAGCTGCACTGGCTAGTACTGCAGTGGCTGGGGCTCGTGGGGAAAGCAGCAAATGGAAAAGGTTAGCTTACGCTGTTGCCAGTGGCCAGAGCACTGTGAAATAAGCAGTACAGAGATTTCCGCTCTCGAGAGCAGTGGGGCTGTGGGATGGGCTTCATAAATCTTTTCCTTGTGTTGATAGGAATTTATCACAGACTCAATATAGGGTAGGTCCTTTACTCCCTGAGAAAGAAGGAAGAGATAACATTCACTCTGGATTATAAATACTCGAGAAGTAAATTATTCTTTCAAATTTATAGTGACTCCCCACAACACGCAGATGAAAGCTCAGGTTCACAGAAATGGGTCTTTGTAGAGGTCAGTGTGAACAAGCCAAGCCTACTCCTCCACATTTAAACAGCCACACATACCTCGACCACCAGCAGCCTACTCAAGCAACAGGACAGAGCCTGGCACTGCATCACATAGCCTAAGCAATAGCTTGAGTGCCAAGGTAAGAATCTGTGGGGAGGCTGTAATCCACACCTGCGCTTCTGAGCGGGAGATAGCAGCTTTGAGGCCAGCTGGGGCTAACGGAACTGGGCCTTGTGAGATTAAAGAAGCGAGGAAAGTGAGGGCTGAAAGTCAGGTGTCTCAAAACTAGCAAAGCTGTTGAGACTTTCCCTCGGAGTTTAGGAGTTTAGTTACATTTAACAGAACAACCCAGATGACTAAAATACAACTTCATTCTGTTTTTAATCAGAGACAGGTGGTTCGTGTATTCAGGAGGTAGAAGTAGGTGGGTTTCTGAGTTTGAGGCTAGCCTGGTCTACATAACAAGTTCCAGGCTAGCCAAGGCTTCAAACTGAACTCCTGGCTCTAAACAAAACTAAACAAAATAATTTCAAAAAAGACTGGAGAGATGGCTCAGCAGTTTTGAGCACTGGCTGTTCTACAGGACCCACGTTTGATTCCCAGTAACCACATGGTGGCTCACAGCCATCTGTAACTCCATTTCTGGGGTCTGGTATCTGGCCTCCTCAGGCACCAAGCACGCATGTGGTACACAGAATTCAGGCAACACACTAAAAGAAAATAAAGTCTCTTAAACATCGGAATTTTGATGAGAAATTTGGAGATCTGGTATGTGGCTTAGCAGTTGAGCACCACTGTGTGTCTAGCCACAATTAAAAAAAAAAACACAACAAAAGCGATTTCTTGTCAGAAACACCACTTGGCAAGTGGCTAGTATATTTCTAAAAGAATCTGTTTGTTTAGTGTGCAAGAAAACATACTGAAATCTAGCTCAGTACATTTGTGCTAAAGTATATGTCACACAGATGTGACCTCATTAGTTGTATGCTTTGTACCATTATTTCAAAGAGTGAGGCGAACAGGGTGGTGTTTTTGTAGCTCTGATCACTTAACTGTTCCCTTCACGCAGATCTGCAGTGCCGCTAATGTAGGTGATCTTCACACACCCAGAGTCTAGGCGCAGCTCATGGAAGGAGAGAGTCCGTGGGTGTTGACAAGCCTTACAGCTTTTATTCCCAAAGTTCTGTGGTCCAGAAAATGAGTTCCTAGCTTTCCCATGGCGTTGGGGCTATTGTATGGGGCCAGGCATGTGGAAACACAGTCCCATTGGTTTTGTCTTTGTCCGTCACTCATTTTTACGACACTATTTAGAGAAAATTGACTAAAATTTTGCCATTCTTTGGTTTTGGGAAGCCCCCCTCTCTTTTTTTTTCCTTTTTTTCGGGGGGGGGGCAGGAGGGGAGTGTCTTTCTATATAGCCCTGGCTGACCTGGAACTCACTATGAAGAACAGGCCGGCACTAAACTCCGCTTGCCTCGGCCTCCTAAGTGCTGAGACTAAAGGCATGCCCCTGCACCTGGCCAAGCTAGGCTTAATTTATTTGTGAAAGTTAATTCATTTCAGATACATAGATTTAAAAAAGAAAGTGAATCTATAGATGCTAAATAGATCCCCTAAATTTACTCTGTATGGATTTAGATAAATTTTCTCATATTTTCACAATTAAAACATTTATATTTAATGCCAAATACAAATAATTTCCATGTTTCCATTTTTATTACCCTCTGCTGTTGTGCACACCAGCTCTGTTCATTTTGCTGTTAGTCTAAATAGTAGTAGCCTTCAGTGAATTTTCTGTGGCTTTAATTTTCCAGAATCGTTTAAAAAATAATAATAACCTAAAGTATCCCACCATTCCAGCAGTGTGGCTCCTCAAAAATGTTTCCTAGTCTCTTGAGAGCACAGGATTACAATCATGAGTCTGAAATCTCCCGTACCCATGGGAAAAAATTAATCCAGAGGCAGTAGCAGAGGCATGCATGTGTGGTTGTCATCGCGGGGAGATGCTTACAGTCAGGGGCAGCAGTCAGAGCAGTGCGCGGACTCCTGCTGAGAGCCTGGGCGCGGGCAACCCTCTTCTGTCTTCTGCTCTGACCACCTGCGCTGCTAAGATCAATTGGGAAATACTGCTTTAAAAACAGTTACTGGATTCAGTAAACATGAGGCAGAGAGGGGGTGGTGTGAGCTTTCTAAATACTGTTTTAGGACCTTATCGTTTTATCCTTTGCTGTTGACCATAGGGATCTGGCAGCTGCCCTCACTGGCCTGTTAACAGCCACATGCTTGTTCGGTTTCTCTGGCTAAACCACACAGTGCAATGATAGCAGCTGAAGCTTCTGCCCGGAACCCTTCAGTCCTGTCCAAGGTTAGCGTTGGTGGCTTTGTAATTCCTCTTTTTTTTTCCTCGCAAAACAAATGAGAGCATCGTGTTTACATCACATCTCCACAGCGTACATGGCTTGACAGAGGCTTCTCTGTTTCTCAGTTTCATAAACACTTATTTAATCCTTTATTAAATTGTACAGTGAGGTGCTCAAAGTAATAGGCTATAAATATATTTAATAGAAACTTGAGTTTGACATTCATGGGCATAAAGATGTGTCTGTTTTAAAAAAGAACTAAGTATTGTGTAACACTATGGCCATGCTTCTGTCACCAAAGTAGAGAAACTTCTGGAACACCAGTAAAAAGCAACAGTTGATTCTGATACTGTGTCATTAACATGATTGGCATTTGGTCACATTATATTGCGCGTCCAGCTGCAAGCCTTAAAGCCAACACTCTAGAGTTGTTTTGTGGTAGAACAGGCCACCTCTTCAGAAGAGCGCAGAAAGCTCTCTGGCACCTCAACCTTCAGAAGAACTGCAAAATTAGAATAATTTATTTTGCTTTATAGGAGTTTGTCATGTATTGACTTAAATACTGTATTTTGGTAATAAACTTTTTTGTTAAAAACACTTGTTTCTAAGTTTTATTAACAGCACACATCCATTGGGTTTATTGAGTTAGAAACTTGCATTTAAGTCATTGAAAGTGTCCCAAGAGCTGATTAGGCTTTATGGTTAGGCTCTGGGCTTCTTCCTTATGAAACAGTTCTTTATCTTGTACAGCAGCCATGGCAGCGTTTTCAGTGCTGCTATGTGGGTGCTAGCTCCCTTACAGAGAACTCTTCTGAAGGCTGGTGACTACAAGGTTGGGTTTATACTTTGATCCTCTTGTGATCTATTACCAAATAATCCTTTGACCCTGGATTCATCGCAGAGGTCAGGGTGCTGTCACCTGACTGCAGCAGTTTGTACCCTAGAATCCCTGGCCCTCCCAGCCAGAAGTGACTAAAACCAAGTATCTCTCCTCGATAGTTGTAACCCCTTGTACTGGCCTCTGTAGGGTGATGTGGTCCTGTCTCTTACCTCTCAAGGACCCGATCTCAACGCTGTGCCATGCAAGTTAGTTGTGGAACTCACAGCCTGGCGAACTTAGATCCAGATCACAGGGTGCCCTGTGACAGCCATAGCCATGTGACCATGAGCACTTGAGATGGGATTTGTGTTCTAAGTGGGAAGCACAGCAGTTGAAATGATTTAGACAAATGTAAAGTTACCTCAGCAGTTTTACATGTTAACTGTGTTAAAATATTTTGGGTATATTGAGTTCAATAAAACACGTTAAAGTAATTTCACTTTGTTACAGCTTTTCGTTGCTATAGTAGAATGCCTTTTTTAAAAAAAAAAACCCTCTTAGGTTAACTTGGCTCATGGTTTCAGGGGTTTCTCCCCAAGATCATGTCTCTTGCTGTCACACTACAGTGAAATAGGATATCATTGTGGTATCATGTGAACCAGGAAGCAAAGGGGAGAGACAGGCGGGTGAGAGACAGGATAGACTTACCCAGGGCAGAGTCAGAGTCAGGAGCTGTTCCCTCCAGCCAGGCCCCACCCACTGTGGTATCAAATGACAAATCTATGCCTAGCTTGTTGGAGCCCTAATGCTACAGTCACTTTCCAAAGCTCACAGCCAAACCTGACACGCCTTTTTGGCCACCTTATTTCTAAACCGTAACACATTAATGTGGTTACTAGAAAGTTTTTAATCACATACATGGTTTGCATTATGTTTTCCTTAGGTAGTGCTGGTATACATTCCAGATTGGCAAACCGGCCTCCATGTCAAAGCCAGCCTGCCACTTGCTTTCATCAATAGTTTCATTGAATCTCAGCCACATCATCATTTCCCTTTTTTGAACTTGTTTTTATCAACTTACTTTCTGAAAGGACAGCCATGTTTCTTTGTTTGAGTGACAGATAGGATGACCCACAAAGCCCACATACTTACTGTCTTATACAGCGACTGAGCTCTGGGCTGTATAGCTACCAGAGTGAAACAGTTACCAAGAAAGCTACTTCACAGTGGTGTTCAGAGCTGGGCTGCGTTTCTTCCATTGAAGCTGTCCTGTGTGAGACCTGAGTGTGTGGCACAGTGTGTCTGTGCAAGCAAGAACAAAACTTTGGAGTGGGTTCTCTTCTTCCACCTGTACACCCTTTCCTGGGGTCAAACTCAGGTCGCCCAGATTGCCATAGCACACGCCCTCACCCACGAAGCCATCTCATGGTCCATCTGCCTCTTCCAAAACTCATCTGTCCAGCTTCACACTTTGGTGATGGGTACGTCGAGTCAAACAATTTGTTGAAAAGAACCGAATAAGTAAGTATTAAGCAGCGCTGCTCTGAAGTTTGTCAAGCTCCCCATGTCTGCATTGTCCTCCAGGCTTCATCCAGTGCTGTGGGCCCATCAGCACTGACTTGCTCTCAGAGCCTGCCGTGGCTGGACTGCTGCAAAGTGAGCTCAGTAAAGTCACTAGGGCAGGCTGACCACTGGCTGGAGCCTGACACCCGTGACAGCCACGAGCATGCGGAACTGTACAGCCGGGCTCACTGGGTGGTGAGGGCCTTCCATGGCTTTGGCTTGCCGGCAAAAGGTCTAAGGAAAAGTCACAGAGCTTTCTTTCAGATCAGCCAGCAGCAAATGTAAAGTGAGAACACTTCTGGCTCAGTGAAGCCTCAGACGAGTCTGCTGCCTGAAGGACTTTTGTCATCGTTGCTGTTGTTACAATTTTAAGGATTTGTTTTTATTCATGAGTGTGTCTCTGCCACGTGGCTACAGTGCCCGCAGAGGCCAGAAGGGGGCATTAGATTCCCTAGAGCTGGAGTTGCAGGTGGTTGTGAGCAGCACTGGTGGGTGCCCTGGAAGCACAGGGGACAGCTCTTCACCACGCAGCCACCTCTCCAGCCCTCACTAGTGTTTCCAGTCATCGCTAAGCAACGCTTGCTCTGGTAAAGAGGGTGTGAGCAGCAGACCCCAGTTTACACGCTGTTAGGGACTGTAGGCCCGTTCTCTGGGCAGTACCTTAATACATTTACTCTCTAGGTTTATCTCTTGATTCAGAAAGTATAGGTAGAATTATGCCAGCTTAAGTTTTTTCTGATGACAGGTAATCACTTTGAACTATTTACCTTACTAAAGATTACAGGAGGCACTGAGATTTAAAAGTCTGATTTTAGACATCTATTATAAATGACTATTATAATGGAATGTTAGGCCACATAATGAAGTCCTCAGATGTGGTCATTTCATGTCCCGCTTAACCAAATCTGTACCAGCTGGGTTACTGAATCCAGATGGCAACAGTGCCATTCTGTAACAGTTTGCAAAATTGAGTATATGACATCTCTCCAGTAACCCGCAGAGGCACGGACTCTTCATATTAAGTAGATAGTTTTATTTACACAGATCAGAAAGTAAGGAATCCTTGTGTGCTCAGGTTCAACTATTGCAAAGGAACCCGGTGGATCTGAGCCGGTGGCCCACTGGCAGAGCAGAAGTAAGCATCTTTCTTTCAGTTCTGCCATGTGCATTCTTTCCCAGCTTTCCCCTTCATGAAGATGAAGTACTTACACATAGCTACGTCCTTGCCATCGGTGTCATTAACGATCACACACTTTTAAATTAGTACTACAGATGGGGTGTAGCTCAGTGGTAAACAATGTGTGTAGCATGCATAAGGACCTAGGTTCCATCCACAGAATAAAAATAAATGAGGAAAATCAACAATAAGAATGTTATCTTAGGGCTGTTGAGATGGCAGGGCGACTGTCTAGTATATGGGAAACCCTGGGTTCAAAGCCATGTCACAAGAAGCTACATAAAATTCTTACCTACTAAGCGTGTACACAATGGAAAAGTGCTTGCCAAAATAAAACACCCTGGGCATGGCAGTACATAGCTGATATCCCAACCCTTGGGAGGTGGAGCAGGAGGATCAGGAGTTCAAGCCTAGCCTCCACTACATTGTGAGTGGAGGCTAGCTCGTTACACAGTGAAGACTTGTCTCCAAATACATAAAAATGAAAAAGCACGGTACTCATTTTTCATGTCTTTTATTAACACCTACTGGTTTTATTTAAAGGCCTATCACTACAGTACACATCTTCAAATTTTTGGCTTTTTCTACTTGTCATTTTATTAATTTTAGTATCCATATTCAGAAATAATGTGGCTGTGGTTCACTGAAATAGACACATCAATCCACAGCTTGCTCTTTTTGTTTATAGCTGCAGTCCTATTTAAATTCAGTGTATCCAATCACAAAAGGTGTTAGAAATTTTTATTTTAGGCTTGTGAGAGAAAGTATAGCAGAATGTGATTGAAATCTTAAGCTGGGTTTACTTCTGCTCCCCTGAAGCTAACACTGTACAAAAAGGTATGTGAAGCAAACCATTGGAGACAGGAGTTGGGAACCTGAGGTTCTCCCTACTCAGGAAGCCAGGGCAGTGGGTTCAAGAGTTCAAGGCCAGTCTGAGCTACAGAGCAAAACCCTGTCTCAAAATCCCCAAGCCAGGACTGGAGAGATGGCCCAGTGGTTAAGAGGCATGCTGCGCTTCCAGAGGACCTGAGCTTGGGGCCGAGCGCCTGCCTGGTACTCTAGCTCCAGGGATCTGAGGCCTTTGCAGGTGCCTGCACACGCATGTGCAAACAGACACATAGAAATTTGTGTTTGTTTCAATCCAAAAGTAAGCCCGATGTGGCAGCGTACACCTTTAATCTCAGCACTCAGGAGGCGGGAGTGGGCAGATCTCTGTGAGTTTGAGGCCAGCCTGGTCTACAGAGTTCCATGACTACATAGAGACCTTGTCTTAATTAGAAAACCAGGTATGGGATGAGTGGCTGGAAAAGCACCCTTACTTCTCAGCCCTGTGAGAACACCCTTGCTGACACAGTACCTCCTCCTCTCAGTGAAGACACTAAAGGCCTCGCCTAGTAGCACCATACAGCTAAAAATACCAGCATCTTGCCATCCCGCGCGGACCAACCCTGTGTTCAGTCTGCAAATGCTGAAAAGGAAGCTCCAGTGTTTTGTCTGAGAATCTTTATTTATATGTATGCGTGTGTGTTCATACATATGTAAATACAAACAGGTGCCCACAGTGGCCGACAGAGTGGCACACGCACAGGTGCCTGTCGATCTCCCGAAGCTGGAGTAACAGGCAGGGGTGCGCCACCTAATGTGGGCACCGGGACTTAAGCTCAGGCCCTCTGTAGTGCACGCTTTGGTTTCTTTTAAAACTCAAAGAAAGTCTGAGGGGGTGTTTGCTTCATTAGTTCATTTATTTATTCACTTTACATCCCAATCGCAGCCCCCTCCCTCCTCTTCTGCCAGTCCCGCCCTCCCTCCTTCACCAGATCCTCCCTCCCTACTCAGAAAAGTGGAATGTCTCTCCTCCTCCCCCTCCCCCCCTACCCACCCAGCACATCATGTTGAATCAGGACTGAGCAAATCCTCTTCCACAATAGCCTGGCATGGCAGCCCCGCAAGGGGGAAGCAATCAAAAACCATGCAACAGAGACCGTGCTAGAGACAGCCCAGCTCCCCTTCCTAGGGAACAACATGACAGTCAAAATA